GGGGATTACTGTCAGCTGGGTAGTAGAGGAACCAGGTCTCAACCCCAGAGGTCTTAGCTCCAAATCCAGTGCTTCTTATACCATGTGCCTCAACGTATCAATGTGTGGATGGCAAATGATCGTGCTAGACTATAATTACATTCACCTGTCTGTCCTGCCATGGGCAGGGATGGGGTTAGATTCATGCCTATGACCTTGGGGCTGAGCACTGGGCCTGGCACACAGTGGGTACTATATGAAGATGTACCAGGCATTTAGAATACTACCGCCTCACCTAAAGACACCTCTCAGCTTTTTCAGTGCCTCCCCAACTGTTATCTGTTCAGTCACCCTTCGAGATCAGCAGCAGGTTAGGTGGCATCCTATCTATTTTACAGGGGGGTTCAGTGATATGTTCAGAGTCACACAGCCAGGGAGGCCAGGGGCTGGACCCAGGAACCAGATAACCAGACACGCAGTGCTGGCCTCCTCATGACATCAACCTTGGTGCAGGTGGGCCCTGGGGGCCCAGCAACCTCCCCTCAGGAGGATAATCTACAGGAAATGGGCAAGGCTCCCAATACCATTTTCTTCTTTCAGTGTTTTTTCTGAAGCTTTTCAAGTTCCCTTTAGTCTGAGGCAGCATGTGTGTACACACGGGGAGGCAGTCTGGGGCAGAGGAAACAGGTTTCATAGCCAGGAAGAAAGGGCTGCAATCCCACAGTGCCTCCCCCACGGTGAGGCTTGCATGTGCCCTCACCCCTGAATCTGAGTCTTCATGTGTGAAGTAGTGAGCACCCTGGCACTGCTCTCAGTAAGTAACCGGGATGATGACACGAGAGACAGTAAACACTCCAGGCTGGCGCCTGGCACACATGGGTGCTTACTGCATGTGGGTGCTTGCCTCCATAATGGGTGATTTCAGGGACCAGGAAACAAAAAGGAGTTGTGACACCAGCAGATATGAAGGCCAGGCAGGGGCAGAGGATAGACAAGAATCCAAAATGCACCCCTTGAGGCCTTGGATTCTCTCAATGTACCTTTCCTGGGCCTTGCTGGGGCTCTACCAGGAAATTGGTAAGGGGGTTTTGAAAGGTCTCAGAGGCCAAAGAAGGCTGAAGAAGTTGTTTCCGGTGACAGAATGGGGACAAAATGAGAATCAGCAGCTACCCCTGGGTGGGGGGGTCAATGTCTTCCCCCTCCCTCACTCCCAAGCCCAGCAGTTACCCACCCTGCCCAAGTCTGGCTTGGGAGGCCTCCAGGCCTGGGCTGATGCAACAGCCTTCTTCCTGGCCTCCTGCCTCCAATGGTCAGCCTTGCCTGGCACCAGAGTGCAATCCCAACAGAAGACTAGTACCCCACCACTGCTCCCTGTTTTTAACCCATCCCACAGAGAGAGCTTATCAATCCAGAGGCCTCTCTCACTCCCAGGGCCCTACGCCTTTACACAGGCTGTTTCCTCTGAGGAAGATGTCAGAGATGGCCTTCTTTTCTTTGTCTATCTCCCTCATTCGATTCCAAAGCCGCCTCCTCTAGGAAGCCTTCCCAATTTAACCTGCCCCTCATCTGGCAAAAGGTCACCTTCCCCCTGGGCCTCCATGGCTCCTGGGCCATCCATCAAATACCACACACTTTGTGGTCTGCGGCCATCTCCGAATGGAACTGTGTCCAGCTCCTCTCCTGCGCGGGGCCTGGCCATATGAAGGGGGATAAACCAGATGAATGAAATGCCCTGGACAGAAAGCTTCCCTCTACTTGGAGAGACTAACAAGTCACCCAAGCTTGTAAGACACTAAGGGCTTTGCTAGCTGGTGAAATGAGGTGTAGGACCATAGTAGATGCAGTCTCTGTCTTCTACTGTCAGTGCAATTCAACAAGTGTCTACATAATATAATACAGACTACAAACCTCTTCTCATTTTACTAGCACATGTAATTCATTATCTTATTTAACATTCACAACAGATCAGTGAGACAGGAATTCCTATCTTCATCTGAAGGATGAGAAGACTGAGAAACAGAAAGGTCAAGATACTTGCCTCGGGTCACAGAGCTAGAAAACAATGGGAGTAGGAGTAAAATCCAGACCCTTCTGACTCTAAGAGGCTGGAGCACTCAACAGCCTCCAAATTGGTCTCCCAGTCTCCAGCACCAGAAACAAGCCAAAGGATGGTTTCTTAGAATTACCAATACCACCCTATTGGGCTCCTTTAAGCCCTCCAGCAGCTCTCTGCTGCCTACAGATTCAAATCCCAGCTCCTAGGCCTGGCATCCAAGGCCATCATATTTGGCCCCTGCCATCCCTCCCAGCTTCAAGTTGAATTTTAACCCCCCGCCCCCACCTGAGGGTCCACAGTGCTGACCACCTCTGTGCTGTTATCAGAAGGCACAGAGCCATGCAGTGCTCTTCCCTCTGTGGGAAACACTTCCTCCCTCCAGGGTGTATTAACTGGGCTGCCCCAGGTTGCTGCATTCCAACCTTCCAGTTCCTGGGCTCCAGGGGCTCCTGGCCCACTTCACTCCATCCCTCCCTAACTTCAAAGCCACCCCTCCCCCTTCAAAAGAGCAAATTAGTGCCTGGGGATTGTTCATGTCAGAATGGAGGTGTGTGTGAAAATAAACATCAAAGTGTTTCCAGGTTCTGGGGTCTAGCCAGACAGGAAGGGAGGAGAAAGGCTGTCAACACCTATCTTTCCAGAGGGGAAACTGAGGCCCAGAGAGGGAAAGGGAAGTGCCTACAGTGGCCTCTTTCCCACGTGAGTGGCTTGTGCCTCTCCTTCACTTCTGCAGCATCTGGCAAAATTCTAGGTTTAAAACTGGAGCAGAGCCCAGCTGGGCGTGGTTTAGCAGTTGAGCGTGGACCTAGGATCCAGGCGATAGGGTTCTATTCCTGGTCAGGGCACATGCCCCGGGTTGCCGGCTGCAGCCGATCAATGACTCTCATCATCGATGTTTCTATCCCTCTCCCTCTCCCTTCCTCTCTGAAATCAATAAAGATACGTTTAAAAAAAAAAAAAAAAGACTGGAGCAGAGATGGGGGTGGGAAGGGGTTAGGGTTATCTTTGCCACTCAGGATCAAAAGCCCAGCAGGCTCCCACTGTCTGAACCCTCCCTCTCTGGTCAAACTTGGGCTCCGCAAGCATGGACTTCTCTGAAGGGTAGAGCAAGAAAGGAGGAAGGATAGAAGAGGTTCCTGAGACACCTCCTCACCTGGGCCAAGTGGGCAGCACGGTTCTCAGGCCGGCTGTTGAAGGCAGCACTGGTAATCCCGACCAAAAACATCGGCATGGGCACCGCGAGGGAGTGCTCTCAGTCTTACCATCTGAGCAACTTGCCCAATGTCGTACTGTGGGCCGGTGGCCAGCCCATTGGGAACCAGTATGTGCAAGGTTTCTAACTCTCCACAGTCCAACGGGGAGGGGGGGGCTTGGAGCCAGGGCCGCGGGCAGGCCAGGATCTAGAGAAGCCTTCGCCTTCTCACCTGCGGGATCCGAAGGCTGGTCCCCCCACCCCGGGGGCAGGATGCAAACGGAGAGCAGATCTCGAAGCGGAGCCGGGACTGGGGCAGGCCTCTCGCCGGTAGACGCGTCTCTCTCGGTCATATACACTCTCTCCGAGAAGTGCGGGGTGGGCAACACCCGCAACCCTCTCCTGTCCTCTCCTCCGCTCGGCTCCCGGCCGGGCCCCAGGCCGGCCGCTCCCCTCTCCCCCTCGCGGGTTCCACAGGGGTGTCGGCACGTTCCTCACGCCCTGGCCGGGCCGGTCCCCAGGCGCTGCCGGTCGCCACCTCCCCCCCCCGTCCTCTCATCCCCTCTGGGCTCTACCGACCCCAAAAGACGAAACAGGGGCGGGCTGCCAGCGCCCCTTCCCCGGCTTCAGTGAGAGGAGGACCGGGGCTGTTAGCCGAGGAACCCGGAGAAAAGTTTGAAGCCAAGCGGGGGCCCGGGGTGGGCAGCAGGGGAGCGAGGAGCTGGGGGCGGCGTCTGGCTCTCGGCGCGCACACGCTCCACGGGCTCCCCGACCAGACACGTCGACAGGCACAGACCACGTCCGCGGACACGCAACCATGCGCGCCCCAACACGCACAACCAAACGCGGGCCCACAAAACGTGGACACAGGCGCGAAACAGTCACGCAAAGCCAAGGACACACAAAAGCGGACAGACAGATGCACGTCCCCAGATTCAAATCCACAAAGGCCCACCAACGAGAGATGCACATGTCCGCACAAAGACCCCAGAGGCGCGGGCCCTCGCCCCCCGCCGGAGCCTTTGTCTCTTTGAAGCCCTCTCCCCTCGGTCTGGGTTCCCCGCTCCGGCCCAGCCCTGGGCGTCCAGCAGCCGCTGCCGACACCCCGAGTCCAGGAAAAGTTAAGAGGCCCCCGTCCCCGCCCCGGTGTCCAGCGCCGCCCGCCTGCCGGATGGGGCGGCCAGGTTGGGGTCGGGGGCTCCAGACTTTGTCCCGCATCGCGGACTCCCGCTCTCCCGGGGACCCGCACCCACCTG